CCTATAAACCAGGAGGTCAAGGTTCAATTCCCAGTGATGGCCTAGAAGACACCCCGCTGGGCCACGGCCTTCCCCCGAGACACAGCCCAGCACCACACAGAGGGTGGCCTGTGAACAGCACCGGCATGAAGACCAGGGCACAGCCCAAGAGAGAGAACCCACGTGCCCAGGTGTGTCCTAATAGGTGTGGGACTGACTGAGAGGCAGGCGGGGAGGTGGTGCCACTGTGGGCCAGGGGCAGGCTCCCTGCACCTGGGAGCGAGTAGATGGGCGCTCCATCACTTAAAGAACACGATTCATTATCTGGGGTTTTATCCCACATCATTGTACGTTGAAAAGGAGGAGTTCTGTTTGAGTAGGATGTAGAGAGCCTGTCTGGGCCATCACCAATGTTTTTGTTAATGTTTCAAAGTAGAGTATCGTCAGTTATCACACAGCTTTGCTGCTTACGGTTGTGTCGGATGACTTCGCCACAAAAACACATTGGTTTAAAATATTTATTAATTTAAAAATTTTAAATTTTTTTCTATACAAAGATGATGAGAAAAGTCCCATGCACACTCTGGGCATACAATAAAAATAACTCAAATGTCATTGGATGGTTTTGTACAAAATAATTCTTTTTCGGTGGGACCTCCAACAGGCAGTGCAGCCCCCTCTCCAGGCCGGGGTGTCCGGGGGTATGAGGTGATTACCTTACGACACCTGGGAGTGCTCCCCCCCGTCCCTGTGCCCTGGTGTTCACAGATGTCACTATGACGAATGATAAAGTACCCTATTGCTACTACGCAGAAAACGAGACGGAGACGTGAGGACACTTGAGTGAGGAGCGCCCCGGCTCCGGGAACTCCTGGGGGCCCGCAGGGACTCACAGAGGTTGGCAGAGAGTCGGCTCAACTCGGGAAAGTGCCTCGAGATGGTTTCAGATGGTGCCCGCGTCTGCCGAGTTACCAACCTGCAGTGGGTTTAGCATCTGTATATATTACAAGTCATTTGCAGAATTAAAACAACCAAGGGATCCACATGGCATGGCAATTAGAAATGCATCAAACTCTGCACGTTGTACAAAAAGCTTCAATATGAAACAGTAATCCTCTGAGAACTGAGCCGGCCCGGAGGCACCCCCGCCGCGCAGCCTGGGCCTCCCCCACCGCCCACCCCTTTCCCGCGAAGCTCAGTCTTATTGCATTTTCCACACACTCATCTCATTTTCCGCAGCCTGACTCTGTTTTCCTTGTCCCGTTTCTTAAGCGTAAGAATGAATTGGTTGAAAAAGTGCTCTTGGTCCTTCCTTTTTTGAACAAGTCGAAATCTCTGGTCCCGGCCATACTTCTCAGCAAACTCCTTGAATGTGGTCCTGAAAAGCAAGAAGGTCCTGCTAAGCCCTCCCCTGAGCTGAGTCCTGGTGTTCTGGAACCGTGCCCGCCGGCCGTACCCGAGAGGGAGGGCACCCCTTCCCCAGGGCCAGGGGAGCAGGGAGTTTGGGAGGATCAATAGGCTATAGGGAGTAGCTCTGGGCCTCCAACAGCTGACCCACCTGCTCCCCACACTAGGCTACTCCCACTGGGGCTACAGACCCATTGAAGGTGTGTGCATACTTTCACTTGCAGACCCCCCATCAACACATCCAATAGCCTCTAGAAATGAGCCTGCCCTCCCTGCCTCTCCGGCCTCCTCGCTCTGAGCCCGCTGCTGCCCACCTGCCCCCCGTCGTTGTTTCGGCCACACAGGTCTTCTTCAGTCTCTTGCTCTTACCAATCACCAACCTGCCAAGGGTCTTGGCATATGCTGTTACCTTGCCTGGCACACCCTTCCCTTATTTCTTCACTCATCATTTAAAGCCCACTCGTCATTAGGCATCAGGCCGACCATATTTTCCTCAAGAACATGCTCCCTATGTGGAGGACCAGGGACCTGTGCATGGCTCAGGCATGACCTTCATCAAGGATACGACCTCCATAAGCCTCCATAGTGCAGTTTTACTGGATCCTCCCGCACGGGTGTGGGAACGCCAGTATCGGCTTTGTTCCCATTGGATATCCTAAAGGTCTGGCCCTGTGGCCGGGTGTAGTGAGCACCCAGATATTGGTGGACTGAATCCGTAACTGCCAGGCCAGGGAGTCCCTGTGAGGTCACTGGAGAGGGGTCCTGGAACCTTCGCCAGCGCGGGGTCCTCAGGGCTTTCGCTCCTTCCAGGTCTGGACCGGAAGCTCAGGAGCGGTGAAAGCTACAGAGCGGCTGAGGCCCAGGGGCCGCGTGCAGGCGCTCAGACCTGCCTCCCTCAGAGCCTGGCGGGGGGTGGGAGTGGGGGT